CATCTACCAACTTTTCCAGTTATTCCTTAATCACTGCATTTGGTCACATCTGTCAAAGGCTTTTGCAAAGTCTGTGTAAACTACATCTGCGTTTTGTTTTTTTTCTAGAGCATCCAGGACCTTGTCGTAGTGATCCAGTAGTTGGGACAGGCAGGAGCAACCTGCTCTAAACCCATGTTGCCCTGGGTTGTGTAAAGATGGGTACTAGATGGGGGGCGATCAGTTCTGCAACCTTACATACTTGTCATGAAAATTTTTTTTCCACATTCTAATCAGTCTTTTTGCCTGCAAAGACGCTCCATGATTAATGACAGACAGAAGATCAAGTCTCCAATACTTGGTGCAGGATAACTCAACACTATGGTGCAGGATAACTCAACACTTTGGTGCAGGATAACTCAACATGTTGGTACAGGATAACTCAACACTGGTTTAGCACTTAATAGAATAGAAAAATGCACTCTCTTAAATTTCCTCCTTATATGAGGTTTCTTGGCATTATTTTAATATTATGCATTATACACTATTAACATCTCAAGCAATTACCCTAACAAACCTCAGGTAATTACACCCATTTGAGGTGGAACCCCTACCACGGTGATAACCCCAACACACCTCAGGTGATTAGCCCATCAGGTGAATACCACTTCTGTAGGTGATTACCCCCTTCTCCCCCTCAGGAGAATCCCTCATCTCAAGTGATTCCCTTTTACCTTAGATGATTCTGCTCACTGCCCCCCCTCCCCACACCAGTGATACAGCATTTAGCTCAACAAAAATGACCCTGATCAAATCCTAGGCAAGATGAGATATAGGGGCAAGTTCTTTTCCACACAGCTGTCAGTGTGACCTGTAAGTAAACAGATAACAGCCTTAAACCCCAATTTTAGATACCTAGGAGTCATCTGCTGTTGCAATTTCTCAATGGAAATAAGTCACACTGGCTTTATTTTCTTGAATTATTCCATGTTACTACAGGATGAGTTTAACACTCTGATTAAAGTTTTCAGTCTTCTTAACTTTAAAAAAACTAAATCTTTCATCACTAGTTATGTGATACTGATCCAGGAGAGACAGCAAAATTTCACCTAGCTTTTATTTACAGTTAGTGGGTTATGAAGTCTGCCAAATCATGGTACATACTGTGACTGCTTCTCACAATTAAAACTTCCTTAAAATATTTACCCCCTCCAGCAAAAACATTAAAGTACTGAACAAATTTCCAACTGATAGCAATAAAACCAATGGTTCATTACTAATTTTAATTCATGGTAAAATTGCTTTAACATGAATTTTTTCAACACACTAGCATCCCCCCACCAAGGTCGGGTGACCCCAGAAACTAAACACATTCACCAATCATTCATTTAATAACTGTCTTGCCAAACGTGTCCAGACATCACACTTCAAATGACCCTCTGAAATGTACCTGGAGTTTACCTGGAGAGGGTTTTCGGGGGGCAACGCCCCCACAGCCCGGTCGAGACCAGGGCCCCATGGGGGATCAGGGTCTGATCAACCAGGCTGTTACTGCAGGCCGTACACAAGCTGACGTATGAACCACAGCCCGTGGTCAGGTACTGACTTTAGGTGCCTGTCCAGTGCCTTCTTAAGACAGCCAGGGGTCTAAATTTGGGAATCCCCCTAATGTATTCTGGGAGACAACTGAACAGTCTTGGGGCCCCGGACACTTACTGTTTTGTCTCTCTCAGTGTACTCGTGGCACCCCTGCTTTTTATCGGGGGAATGTTGCATCTCTTGCCGAGTCTTTGCTTTCATACGGAGTGATTTTCGTGTGAAAATTTGGTACCAATCCTCCAGGATCTTCCACCTCTCCTCCAAAGAGCACATCCTCCTCCAGGACTCAAGTCTGGTTAACTGGCTTTCCCTGAATCCCTTCATAAATGTTACCTGCTTACACTCCAACAGCACATAAAGTCCTAAAAAACCCTTTGTCTCCATTTGCTCCTATCTAACACACTCATAAAATCCTTGCTGGAAGTCCAAGTCCCTCGCATGCAAAATCTCCCTTTTCCCCCTCCCTCCTTTCTTAGGCTGACCCCTACCCCGCCTTACCTGGAGTTTACCTGGAGAGAGTTTCCGGGGGTCAACGCCCCCGTGGCCCGGGCTATGACCAGGCCTCCTGGTGGATCAGAGCCTGATCAACCAGGCTGTTACTGCTGGCTGCACGCAAACCAACGTACGAGCCACAGCCCGGCTGGTCAGGTACCGACTTTAGGCGCTTGTCCAGTGTCAGCTTAAAGACTGCCAGGGGTCTATTGGTAATCCCCCTTATGTATGCTGGGAGGCAGTTGAACAGTTTTCGGGCCCTGACACTTATTGTATGGTCTCTTAACGTGCTAGTGACACCCCTGCTTTCATTGGGGGGATGTTGCATTGTCTGCCAAGTCTTTTGCTTTCGTTGTGAGTGATTTTCGTGTGCAAGTTCGGTACTAATCCCTCTAGGATTTTCCAGGTGTATATAATCATGTATCTCTCCCGCCTGCGTTCCAGGGAATACAGGTTCAGGAACTTCAAGCGCTCCCAGTAATTGAGGTGTTTTATCTCCATTATGCGCACTGTGAAGGTTCTCTGTACATTTTCTAGGTCAGCAATTTCACCTGCCTTGAAAGGTGCTGTTAGTGTGCAGCAATATTCCAGCCTAGATAGAACAAGTGACCTGAAGAGTGTCATCATGGGCTTGACATCCCTAGTTTTGAAGGTTCTCATTATCCATCCTGTCATTTTTCTAGCAGCTGCGATTGATACAATGTTATGGTCCTTGAAGGTGAGATCCTCCGACATGATCACTCCCAGGTCTTTGACGTTGGTGTTTCACTCTATTTTGTGGCCAGAATTTGTTTTGTACTCTGAAGAAGTTTTAATTTCCTCGTGTTTACGGGGGGCGTTGACCCCCGGAACTCTCTCCAGATACTCCAGATTTCTGCAGCCCACTGAAAGATTTGGTTGATGTCTGCCTGGAGCCTTGCAGTGTCTGCAATGGAAAACACTGTCATGCAGATTCGGGTGTCATCTGCAAAGGAAGACACGGTGCTGTGGCTGACATCCTTGTCTATGTCAGATATGAGGATGAGAAACAAGATGGGAGCGAGTACTGTGCCTTGTGGAACAGAGCTTTTCACCGTAGCTGCCTTGGACTTGACTCTGTTGACTACTACTCTTTGTGTTCTGTTTGTGAGGAAATTATAGATCCATCTACCAACTTTTCCTGTTATTCCTTTAGCATGCTTTTTTGTGTGCTATTACGCCATGGTCCACACTTGTCGAAGGCTTTTGCGAAGTCTGTATATATTATATCTGCTTTTTTTTGTCTTCTAGTGCATCTAGGACCTTGTCGTAGTGATCCAATAGTTAAAGACAGACAGGAGCGACCTTTCAAAAACCCTCCACTATAGATTTGTACACTCTCAAAGTCATTCTTTTCGTTTCCATTCTCTCTACATGTCAAAACCATCTTAACCCCCCTCCTCAGCCCTCTGGATAATATTTTAGGTAATCCCGCACCTCCTCCTAATCTCCAAACTATGGATTCTCTGCATTATATTCATACCACATAATGCCTTAGACATGACATCCCCAAACTGTTTCCCAGCCTTCTCCTTGTTGCAACATTCACCACCCATGCCTCACACCCATACAAGAGCATTGGTATAACTATATTCTCATACATTCCACTCTTTGCTTTCATGAATAAAGTTCTTTGTCTCCACAGATTCCTCAGTGCACCACTCATCTTTTTCCCCTCATCAATTCTACGATTCACCTCATCTTTCATAGACCCCTCTGTTGACACGTCCACTCCCAATATCTAAATACCCTCGCCTCTTCCATACTCTCTCCCTCCAATCTGATATTCAATCTTCCATTACCTAATTTTTTTTATCCTCATCACCTTACTCAATCCTATATTCACTTTTAATTTCCTTCTTTTACATACCCTACTAAACTCATCAACCAACCTCTGCAACTTCTCTTCAGAATCTCCCAAAAGCAGTGTCATCAGCAAAGAGCAACTGTGACAAATCCCAGGTTGTGTTAGATTCTTTATCTTTTAACCCCACACCTCTTGCCAATACCCAGGCATTCACTTTTCTTACAACTCCATCTATAAATATATTGAACAACCACAGTGACATCACACATCCTTGTCTAAGGCCTACTTTTACTGGGAAATAATCTCCCTCTCGCTTACACTATCCTTGTAAAGATCTTCACTGCTATTAATAGAGTTATAAATTATATACAACATGTTAGTCCTAATATGAACATGCCAACTTTATTTTACAGTCTGATTTTGAATGTCAAGTCTATATGAAATGAACATCCTTCTGCTCCATAATTCTTGGCACTAGTCTGCACATTTCTGGCAAGACAGGACTGAATGAATGCTGGTGAACGTATTTCGTTTTCTCTGGAATCACCTTGCCATGGTGGGAGACTGCTGTAAGGGTAATTTTTTTTTATTTTACTGTACTCCATATTTATCAGTTTTTTATCACCTCTTGCACACACAAATAAACCCAAGATCAATTTGGATGAAACTGCATCTCATTCTGGATACACTATCAAAACCTTTCTTTTATTTTTTGATGTACAATACACCGTTAGAAAAACTTTTAGTGTACATAGCACAAGCATGACCGATAAGGATGCATACAGGGACAATTCATATTTTTTTCACCGTTTCAACAAAAAATAATTGCATAAAATTCAACAAATGCACAAATAAAGTAATGGATAGAGTTGTATTGGGAATTGAAAATTATACTGTATTTTACAATAGCTGAAAAACTTGAATTTTTGGGTTGAATTTCCGTGAAAGACTATAAATAACATTCCATGTCAAAAAATAAAAAATTACTGTACAGATATACCTTTTAAATTTGAATTTTTAAGAATGAATCATTGTAGCACATTTAAAAATGCTTCTAGGTCCAGCCATAAAAATAAAAATCAGTACTCACTTATCCAGGATTTCATTCTGAAGACCTCGCAGCTTTTCAATTACAGGTTGAACACCAAGCATGAGGAACTCATAGCGAAGGTGAAGTCGAAACTCCAGAGAGTCCTCGCCAGGACCCCAGCGGATTATGGCATTAATGAAAGACATGATGGCAATCCTCAGGATAACTCATCTGCATAGATGCCCCAAGATCGGTCAAGGTCTACGATGAGGGTCTGCGATTTAGATGGAAAACAATGCAAGCAAGAAGTTAAACATAAAAATGGAGGAACACTGTAATGGCCTATACCTGGCAGGTCCTTTTGAAATCCAACCCTTCCCACTCACATTATTTTTTTTAACTCACTGGCCATCTCCCACTGAGGCATGATGACCCAAAAACAAAGCACTTTCATCTTCATTTACACATAATCACTATCTTTGCAAAGGTGTTCAGATACGACAGTTTACATGTCGCTCCAAAAAAGCCAATATTATTACATATTTGTGTAAACTATCTTTTAGACATATATGTCTTTAAACTCCAAAAGTGAAGTAACACTTGTTAATGTTACACATTAACCCACATGGAGGTGATAAAACAGAATTTACGAAAAGTATTCTATATTTCAGCCATACACTGAGGTTTGCTGAAAAGGAACTCAGTGCAAGGTCAAAATATACAGCACTCATCTTTTTTTTGTCTCTACATGGATTTATTTATACTCAAAAAGCTAATTATTTCCCAGATAATAAAGCAACAATTTTTATACATTGTCATACTAGCCAGATAAAATGTTGCCAACAATTATGAAAACAAAAAAGTAAAGTTTCAGAAAAAAGTTTTTACTAGAAAAACATTTCATTTTGTGTAGAGCATTATCAAGTCAGGATGACTTCATAATGCTTTAGACAATAAAATATTGTCCCAATAAAAATTTGTTCTGCAACTTGTGTGTCTGTATTTATACTATTAAGTGAGGAGCAAGAATACACAAGTCATAGTCACCTGAAATCTAGTTCTCTCTCCAACAAATTTCTGAAAGTGAAGCATGGCCTCCAGGACTTTCTTGTGGCCGCCAGGCAAGAGGCACACACCTCCGAGGATTTCCAAAACCATCGTCTTTGTCTTGAGGTTTTCAGTGCTCAAACTTTGTGAGATAACATTCATGCAAGTTGGATGGGCAAGTATGTGTTTCCGTCCATTCTGGAATTTTAATATATTATCATTATTTTTGTGTGTTAAGAAAACTCAGTGCATTTTCTAACCTATAAAATATCATAGAGATCAGGGTAATTACACAATGTGATACAGAATGCATAATGGTGTACCCTTGTAAGGTGTTTATCTGGAGTTTACCCAGAGAGGGTTTCAGGGGTCAACGCCCCTGTGGCCCGGTCTGAGACCAGGCCTCATGGTGGATCAGGGTCTGATCAACCAGGCTGTTAATGCTGGCTGCATGCAAGCTGACGTACGAACCACAGCCCGGTTGGTCAGGTACTGACTTTAGGTGCCTGTCCAGTGCCTTTTTGAAGATAGCCAGGGGTCTATTGGTAATCCCTCTTATGTATGCTGGGAGGCAATTCAAATTCAAATTCAAAGTTTATTCTCTATAAGGATTACAATGTTGAATTTACAGAATTTGGTTATTGTGTGGTTTACATGTAGTTAAATAATGATTACAGAGTGTACCACTAGAATGCCTAGCATGGCTAGGCATTTTGGGCAGACTTAGTTTAATTCTTTATTTTAAAATATTACAAATTATGAGGTAAGTTGGTATTATGGCTAAGTGACTAAATACTAGTTTGTGAGTTTAGCAATGTGAATGCTTTTGTTTTGGCACAGTACATAGTTTCAGTATTGGAGTATCATAGGATTCATTATTTTAAGATTGAGATTAATATTTCTGTTTATGGTCAAATGGGTGAGTGAGTGTAAGTGTGAACCACAAGGTGGTATTCGTGTAGTTAGTTGATGGGGTGTATCTGGGAGATAAGATGTTTTCTAATGGTAGTTTTGAAGGTGATGAATGTGTCTGCAGTTCTAGAGTTCTCAGGTAGGGTGTTCCAGATTTTAGGGCCTTTGACATACATTGAATTTTTGTAAAGGTTTAGTCGGACACGGGGAATGTCGTAGAGATGTTTGTGTCTGGTGTTATGCCTGTGGGTTCTGTCACAACTATCAAGAAAGCGTTTTAGGTCAAGGTTGATATTGGAGTTTAAGGTCCTGTAGATGTAGATTGCACAGTAGTAAGTATGGATGTACTGAACAGGGAGTAAGTTTAGATCTATGAAGAGTGGGGGGGTGTGTTGCCAGGGATGGGATTTAGTGATTATTCTTGCTGCAGCTTTTTGTTGGGTTAATATTGGCTTTAGGTGTGTTGCTGCAGTTGATCCCCAAGCACAAATAGCATAGGTGAGGTATGGATAAATAAGTGAGTGGTATAGTGTGAGAAGGGCATTTTGCGGCACGGAGTATCGTATCTTGGAGAGGATCCCAACCGTTTTGGATACTTTTTTGGTTATGTGTTGGATATGGGTGCTGAAATTCAGGTTGTTGTCAAGGTATAGGCCTAGGAATTTGCCCTCATTATGTCTGGTAATTAGAGTGTTGTCGATCTTAATGTTAATTTGTGCATCTCCTGCTCTGCTACCAAACATAATATAGTAGGTTTTGTCAGTGTTAAGTGTAAGTTTATTGGCTGTCATCCAAGTCGATATTTTGATCAGCTCCTCATTAACAATGGTGTTGAGGGTGGCAAGATTAGGGTGAGAGATGACATAAGTCGTGTTGTCAGCAAAGAGAATGGGTTTTAGGTGTTGGGATACGTATGGAAGATCATTGATGTATATGAGGAAGAGCAGGGGACCAAGGACACTTCCCTGCGGAACTCCAGTATCAAGTGACCGTGTTGTTGATGCTGTGTCTTTAATGGTGACATACTGATACCTATTAGTAAGGTAAGATTTGAAATAAGCAAGCGCATGGCCTCTTACACCGTAATGGTCAAGTTTGTGGAGTAGGATGTCGTAGTCTACTGTGTCAAAAGCTTTTCTTAGGTCAATAAAAATTCCTGGTGGATATTCCTTATTTTCCAATGCTGTGTAAAGCAGATCTAGCATTTTTATGATTGCATCATTAGTGCTTTTATTTTTCCTGAATCCAAATTGGTAGGGGTTGAGTATGTTTTGTGCCGTTATAAATGAATATAATCTCCTGTGCACGAGTTTCTCAAAGATTTTGGATAGCAATGGTAAGTTTGATATTGACCTATAGAAGGAATTTGGGAAATTCCCATCTAGGTAGTCCCCGGCATGGGCATTGGTATGTGGGATTTTATTGGCGAGATTAGATCCTATGGTTGAGAAGAAGTCGTTTATCTTGTTAGCTGTGTCAGTGGGATGTAGTGGTGTTTCATTAGGTTTAGTTAGGACAATATTCTTGTTTTTTTTTCAGTTTGTGGGTCCCTAGAATCTGAGAGAGTGTTTTCCAGGTCTTTTTTATATCTCCTCTAGTGTCTGTGAATCTACTGGAGTAGTATAGCTGTTTGGCTTTTTTTATTACTTTGGTGAGAAGTGATGAATAGTGTTTAAGAATATCTTTGTGTATTAAGCCCTGTCTATATTGCTTTTCATATTGGTGTTTCTTGTCAATGGATTTCAGAATGGTGCTGGTTAGCCATGGGCAACCAAGCCGTTTGTTTGTGATCTGTTTCGTTTTTATAGGACAATGTTTGTTGTATAGTCTAAGTAATTTGTTAAGAAAAATGTCTGCCCAGTCATCAATACCATTGGCCTTGGAGAATTCTGTAGGCCAGTCAACAGTCTCTAGGTCAGCTGTGAACTTCCTTATTGAGGCCTCGTCATGGAGCCTAAACGAGACTTTGTTGTATTCAAGTTGTGGTTTACTAATGTTTGTTAAGAGGAAGGTAGGGTAGTGGTCAGTAGTGCTATCTGTGATTATCCCTGATTTAAGGGGGGCTAGTATATTGGTCCATATGTGGTCTATTATGGTTGCACTTGTCTCAGTGAGACTGGTTGGTTTAGTTATTGTTGGTATGAGAAGTGTGTTGTTCATATTGTTGATGAAATCAGTTACAGGCTGATCATCTAGTAAGCCAAGGTTGATGTTGAAGTCTCCAGCTAAGAGAAGGTGGTGCTTATTCATTTGTCTGTTTGTTATTAGTGACTTTAATTTCTCACTGAAATTTGGGATGTTTGTGCGAGGTATCCGGTAAATGGCACCGATTGTTATAGGTGTCTTAAGGTTTTTACAGTAAATTTTTACAGTAAAATTGAACAGTCCTTGGGCCCCGGACACTTATTGTGTTGTCTCTCAGTGTACTCGTGGTGCCCCTGCTTTTCATCAGGGGAATGTTGCATCTCCTGCCAAGTCTTTTGCTTTCATATGGAGTGATTTTCGTGTGCAGGTTTGGTACCAATCCCTCCAGGACCTTCCAAGTGTATATTATCGTGTATCTCTCTCGCCTGCGTTCGAGGGAATACAGATCAAGGACCTTCAACCGTTCCCAGTAGTTTAGGTGCCTTATCGCACTTATGTGTGCCGTGAAAGTTCTTTGTGCACTCTCCAGGTCTGCAATATCACCAGCCTTGAAGGGGGCCATTAGTGTACAGCAGTATTCCAGCCTAGAGAGCACAAGCGATTTGAAAAGATAGCTATTATGTTAAGGTGACAGTTATTATGTTAAGGTTTTTCAGGAAACAGGACATGTGTTTTCCAATGTGGGTCTTAGTCATATGATGACCCCCAGCTGGAGCTTTTGGTCATCTGACCAACAACTATGTGAGTGGAAACATGGAAGGAAAGTGGTACAGCTTGGACCTAATCGAAAAGGCATCAGAAGACAGCCATCAGTTCCTTTGGGCCGTTGTGATTCTTAATGACAGTCACAACAAATCTTATGGAACTGGTTGCACAACTTATGCTAGTAGTGAGCAAGACCATTCTGAGTAAATTATGTCATTTATAGATTGGTTTAGTTCCCTTGTATCATCCCAACGACAGTTGAACTAATAATCATCGGATACAGGCCCCTGTGCTAAGTCTCATCTTTTTGAGTGTTTTCCAATGCTTCAAAGCACTGTAGCAGTTGCTGCTCACACATAATGCTGTAACTATTTATTTATAAAAACTCTTGGATTACATTTTGAGCTGAATTATATTTGAATCATGACAGCAAATGTCAAAAATGGCATACAATAAATGTATGGTATATAATACTAATAAGCTGATAAGTAAGACACATTTGCAATATCAGGATTTTTTATTGATTAAACAAGTATCCTATGAATATTATGTTTATTTTGGTGTTGAATAATTTTAATATTACTAGTAATATTCTCATAATGTTAATTTATTAAGGATTCCATTATAAGAAAACTCACTTTTTATTCACCTAGATAATAATAGTTATAAGACGTTAAGGAACTTCAACAACCGGTGGCCCGGTGGCCTGGTGGCTAAAGCTCCCGCTTCACACACGGAGGGCCCAGGTTCGATTCCCGCGGGTGGAAACATTTCGACACGTTTCCTTACACCTGTTGTCCTGTTCACCTAGCAGCAAATAGGTACCTGGGTGTTAGTCAACTGGTGTGGGTCGCATTCTGGGGGACAAGATTAAAGACCCCAATGGAAATAAGTTAGACAGTCCTCGATGACGCACTGACTTTCTTGGGTTATCCTGGTGGCTAACCCTCCGGGGTTAAAAATCCGAACGAAATCTTATCTTATCTTTTAATGAACAAAAAATTGCCAACTGAAATCAGCACATAAAAATTAACCTAACAGTGAATGTTGTGGAATTAGACATGTGTTACTGAACACCTGCTGCTAGGATGAGAGACTCACTACCTCATCTTCAACCTCATGTTTGTCAATGTGTTGTACTGATAGAGCTACTGGTTGGCAAAATGTCTACATAATAAAGATACCCAGTTGTTGCCCATGTGTTTAATTCTTCACTTTGTCAGTACAGTGGACCCCCGGTTAACGATATTTTTTCATTCCAGAAGTATGTTCAGGTGCCAGTACTGACCGCATTTGCTCCCATAAGGAATATTGTGAAGTAGATTAGTCCATTTCAGACCCCCAAACATACATGTTCAAACGCACTTACATAAATACACTTACATAATTGGTCGCATACACTTACATAATTGGTGATCGTTAAGCGGGGGTCCACTGTATTATATATGTACCAGTGATGTTATGAATGTTATACAATAATGAATTAATCCGAGTTATCAAATAAGATACCAGATGTACTAAGCAAATTCCCTAAATTTGCTGGTAACAGATAAGTGAACTATAGATATGTAGATATAAATCCATATGTATTCCTGTTAACCCTTTGGGGCCTAGTTCCTGGGCCTTTTGTGTATCCATATGCTCTTGCGCTACCGTCCACAGGATGGATATGAGGTGCACAATAAACTAGCCACTTCGGTGGTAAAATCTAATCTAAATCTAATCGAGTTATCAATTATTAATACTGGCTCATGCTTATTAAGAATTTTTGTACACTAAAGTAACTTATTTAAATAGTATTTACTGTACTTTAATAAATTTTTTAAATATCAGATAAATACTTGTCTAATGTAATACGTATGTGCTTGGTATATACTCTGATATAAGAATATTAAACACACACACACAAACTAACTTCAAATAATACAGTGGACCCCCGGTTAATGATATTTTTTCACTCCAGAAGTATGTTCAGGTGCCAGTACTGACCGAATTTGTTCCCATAAGGAATATTGTGAAGTAGATTAGTCCATTTCAGACCCCCAAACATACACTTACAAACGCACTTACATAAATACACTTACATAATTGGTCGCATTCGGAGGTGATCGTTATGCGGGGTCCACTGTATTCAATAAACTTATTTCAATAGGTGACAATAAAACCTATAAGTAAACTATTCAATAAATTTATACAACATTAATTTATGATGGTACTTACCGAATTATTCATCAAAGCTTTGACACAGGCTATCACATGCATGTGGATGCTAGATTGGAACGTTGTGTCATCCATCTTGGTGAGGAAACTGCAGTAGGGATGCCAGGCCACCAGCTTCCATAAATTCGTTAACAAAAGTGTTGCTCTGAGTGGCCAATGCTGTCTTGAGCCCCTCTGTGTACTTGAGCCAGGAGTGCTGCTGGTACTGATCTGTAGGTACTGTCAACTCAGAGTACTCGTCCAGTTTAGCGATGTACGCCTCTGGCCGCTCAATTTTCTGGAGGATAATGATGTTTTTAAAACTATGTTCATGTGTTTTGTTAAGCAAACAAGTTTTTAATTACAGTACATTTAATATGATTAACGTGCATGTCTTAAGCTTAACCACTACTTGGGCTAAATTTCCCCAATAGGTTTAGCACACAAGGGAATGCTTTAATGGTGATGAAGGGATCTTGTTCCTAAGACTTTGGAGTCACCTTCCTCTTTGGAGTTACCTTCCTTAGATACTTACATGCCAGAAGCTGAATAACCTTTATGACTCACAAAATTGTGATAACACGATTTCAAATAAACACGGAACAGTTGGTGCCTGAACCCATGGCAAGTCGCAAAACTCCAGGCCAGTATATACGTATATTGGCCTGGAGTTTCACCACTCACTTACTATGGTTCAAGCACCACCTGTTCTGTGGTTTGTTTAATCCATATGAGTTTAGAATTTCCCATGACTATAACAATAACAATACACATTAATTCCTACAATTGAGTAAACTAAATCATTCTCAATTTTTTCTATCTTATACGTAATATTTAAGATAGTGTAGATTAAGTTTGAACTGCTACAACGTTTTTCTTAAGCTTAAATTGATTACAGTGTGTGAAGGCTGTTCAATGCTTGTAATGTAAATGCTACACTAAGAAATAAGAAAATACATACAAAAACAGAGAAACAGGAGCAGTTGAAATAATGAGTTACCTTATTAGAGGACTTAAGAGTGTGGTAATCATAGAGAAGCTGCAGTTGCTTCTCTGGAGGGAAGTTAAGAATTCCATTTTTCTGTATGGCTGTCAGGTCCAGCTCATCCTGCCAAGAGAAATGTAAATATTCTGTATAATTGGCATATAAAGACAATATGCAGAACAATCTTTTATTGGGATAGTTTTGTTCAGGGTAGAGCTTTGTCAAGTCATACAGTACAGCACTGCATTTGGCTTACTTTTTCAATGTTTTGGTTTAAACTGTTGCTGGATTACATGGATGACATCCTTATTATTATACCAAGTAGAATCAACTTTGCAAACCCAAGAAACCTCTGCTGAAACTTCTATAAAATTTGCTATCAAAGACAGAGACAATGCACTTCCCTTTCAAGACCTCTAACTTCTTAAAACAGATAAACTGCTTGAATTTAAAGTTCTCTGCAAATCCACTAATAAAAATGAGCTTGTATATTCTTTCTCCTATAGAATAAGAAGGTACAATACCATGACTGGAACAGTACACAAATAACTAGCACACATTAGAAAAACTTGTAACACTGTTTCGATCCGACTCGAGCCTTTAATTAGTCACAGTGTATGTCTTATGACTGTAATGTACTCATAAGTTTCTCTCTCCTACGTGTTGGTTATATGTGTATCTTTCTCCTATCACAAGACAAAATGAGGATGTCCTTATTAGCTTCTTCTTGAGAGTTTTTCAAGTTTTCCACCCTAAATTTTTACAACATCTAGACATAAGGACCAGAAAATCCTATCCACTCCCAAATATGATTACTCTACAAGAAACACTACAATCTACTCAATAATGAGCAGGGGTACTAGTGCAGCAATTTATCATATCATATATAAACCATACACAGCAGTACCTCAGTACTCGAACGTTTTGCTCGTTAAAAAAAATCGCTCAGTAGTCGACCGTTTGCTCAGCACTCGACCAAACAAACATGACTTGCCAGAACTTCGCTGTAAACTATTTCGTGTTTCTTCACATTTTTTGATATTTTTTATATCATTTGTATAAATAAGTTGCCATGGGGCCTAAGAGGCTTAGTGATAACAGCCAATCAAAAAGAAAATTGGTTAGAGCCACAACAGAGATGAAAAAAGGACTTATAGCAAAATATGAAAGCGGTGCCTGCGTGTCTGATCTTGCTACCGAGTTGTATATGGTGAACTCTACCATCTCAACAATACAAAAAAATAAAGAGGCCATTAAAAAGACTGATGTTGCAAAAGGAGTGAAAGCAATTACAAAACAAAGACCACAAACAATTGAAGCAGTTGAGAAATTGCTGTTGATTTGGATCATTGAAAAGCAGTTAGCTGGTGATAGTGTTTCTTAAGACCTTCATTTGCGAGAAAGGCAAAACATCTGCACTCCTGTCTCTTGAAAAACACTCCTGAAATGAGTGTTGATACAGATAGTGAAGTGTTCAAAGTATGTTAGCCTTGTAAACTTTGTATTAAAAAGCTTGTGTAAGTGTATTTTTGGGGGATCTGAAATGGATTAATCTAATATACATTATTCCTTATGGGGAAAATTCGTTCGGTACTCAAGCAGACAGGCCCTTGAACAACCTTCTGGAACAAATTAAGTTCAAGTACCAAGGTACTACTGTATGTATGACATTACCAGACACAGACACATACACAACCAACTAAGAGCATGCATGGCTGGTGAATATATCCTAGAGATTAGTCCCAAATCTTCACACCGAAATCACTCCCTATGAAAGCAAAAGACTCGGGAGGTGATGCAACATCCCTCCAATAAAAAGCAGGGGCACCACAAATATGCTTGGTCAGGGGACCAAGACTATTCAACTGCCTCCCAGCATATGTAAGAGGGATTACCAATAGACCCCTGGCTGTCTTCCAGAGAGAGCTGGATAGGCACCTACAGGCAGTACCTGACCAGCTGGGTCAGGTACTGGTTTACATGCAGCTAGCAATAACAGCTTGGTCATGGACTGGGCCGCGGGGCACTGACTCCCAAAACCCTCTCCAGATATGCCAAGTACAGACTGTGATGAACAGCAGTTTCTAGTTTAGTACTTTATTTTGCACCCCATACCAATCCTGTGGGCAGTAGTCAGAAGATTACAGAGGCACATAATGCTCTAGTGACTGGGCTGCTAAGTTTTGATAGCTGCACAAGTTACAGTGGTAATGAACTATTTACAAGTTAACATCTGTCACAATCATGAGTTATTCATGCAGACATGAATTAAACAGCACATAGAAAGTACGTAAAAAAAAAACCATACCACAGGCGGGAATAGAACCCGCGATCAGAGAGTCTCAACACTCCAGACCGCCGTGTTAGCCACTGGACCAGCTAGCCACAATAAGATTCGTCCAACTAGGTATATTTCTACACCATAGGAAGGTTAGCATAGGCACCACTGTGACCACAAATGCAAGTTTTTTACAGATGAATCTCCAGCTAGCGTGGCCATGACAAACTCTAGCTCAAGACCCCTCAAAGCCGTCAACATGACTCACGAAATCGTAATGACACGATTCCAAACAAACCATACCACGGGTGGGGATAGAACCCGCGATCAGAGAGTCTCAACACTCCAGACCGCCATGTTAGCCAGTGGACCAGCTAGCCACAATAAGATTTGTCCAACTAGGTATATTTCTACACCATAGGAAGGTTAGCATAGGCACCACTGTGACCACAAATGCAAGTTTTTACAGACGAATCTCCAGCTAGTGTGGCCATGACAAACTCTAGCTCAAGACCCCTCAAAGCCGTCAACATGAATCACAAAATCGTAATGACACGATTGCAAACAAACCATACCAAGGGCAGGGATATAACCCACGATCAGAGTGTCTCACGGCCACGCTAGCTGGAGATTCGTCTGTAAAAACTTGCATTTGTGGTCACAGTGGTGCCTATGTTAACCTTCCTATAGTGTAGAAATATACCTAGTTGAACAAATCTTATTGTGGCTAGCTGGTCCAGTGGCTAATACGACGGTCTGGAGTTTTGAGACTCTCTGATTGCGGGTTCTATCCCCGCCCGTGGTATGGTTTGTTTGCAATCATGTCATTACGATTTTCTGAGTCATAGAAGTATGTATAGTCAAGGAACTTAAATTACCAAAATTTGAGAACACCAGGAAGATGGTGGTAATGCTCTTAACACAAACATTGCATTCCACATGCATTATCAAGTCTTACCCATTTCTGTGTAAACAATGTACCATGGAAATAAACTTTTGAATTTAAATCTGAATCATTTATTAGAGCAAGGAAATATGCCCCACTTATTATTAAAGGGAACATATCCTGATGACAGTGCCTAGAATCAGTGATCATCGAGACAATAAACATCACTGAACAGATCAGGCTACCTTTAGCCTAGCAAAACTTTTGGCAGACTTCTTACAAACAGTAAAAAAAAAAACAATTTTATTTGTGAAATCTACCCTTTTTAAAAAACTAAGTGACAATTACGTCAGACATTTTGAAAAGACCCTGATTATGCAGAGCATTTTGGGAAGAATAATAAAGCTAGAAATTAAAACTACTTGATATTGTATAATTGAAGCTAGATTACTTGAATGCTAAGTCAAACAAAATTAAGTTCTCTGAAGACAGGATTTTTAATATAATGATTATTTTAAGTAACAAAACTCTGTGCTAAATACTGTATTAAAACAGGATTATTTATATGAATAGATAATACAAAACTATTTAGACAGTTTTAGTTATAATAATTATTGGGGTTGAAATATATTAGACAATGTACTGTGTATTAGTCGACTGGTATGATCGCATCCTATGACAAAACTGACCTAATCTGCCCAAAATGCTCAGCATAACAAGGAGCTTTGTATATAGCTAGGCCTGTATACATTGTACATGTAGTATTTGTAGAAATCTTTTCTTCTTTCAACAAACCGGCCGTATCCCACCGAGGCGGGGGGGCCCAAAAGGAAAAACGAAAGTTTCTCCTTTTACATTTAGTAATATACAGTATACAGGAGAAGAGGTTACTAGTCTCTTGCTCCCGGCATTTTAGTTGCCTCCTACAACACGCATGGCTTACGGAGGAAGAATTCTGTTCCACTTCCCCATGGAGGTAAGAGAAAATAAACAACAAGAACAAGAACTAGTAAGAAAATATTAGAAAACCCAGAGGGGTGTGTATATATATGCTTGTACATGTATGTGTAGTGTGACCCAAGTGTAAGTAGAAGTAGCAAGACGTACCTGAAATCTTGCATGTTTATGAGACAGAAAAAAAGACACCAGCAATCTTACCATCATGTAAAACAATTACAGGCTTTCGTTTTACACTCACTTGGCAGGACGGTAGTACCTCCCTGGGTGGTTGCTGTCTACCAGCAACCACATAGAAGTATACATACCTATAAGGTATGTATACTTCTATGTGGTAATTTGTCAATACATAATATACACAGTAGTATTTGTGGATTTTTGTATGTCGAGTGAATTTTAACTTAAGAAGTGTGGGCAGGTGTTAAGTTTATTCAGGTATCAACAAATACAGTTATATAGATTATCATACAAAGCAGCATATGTGTAGAGTTGTCAACTGAACATTCTAATAGCAGAATTTTGTTGAGTTATGATGTGTTTTAGGCGAGTTGCTGTTCTATATCCTCATGCATGCACATGTAACATAATTGAGATAACGATAGAAAGCAGTACACTGAGAGTAATGTTGCTTGAGATACACCGCAATGTATTTTTGAAAGAATATCCACTGTTTTAGAAATTTTCTAAGACGTGTGCTAGATGTGAGTGCTGAAGTTTAGTTTGCTGTCAAGATGTATACCAAAGAATTTTCCTTTCAACTTGTCTTTCAACATGTGTATTTACTTTTATTCTCAAATGAATATTTTCAGCTTTATTCCCTAACACTGTGGGTGTAATAATAACAATAATAATAATAATAATAATAATAATAATAATAATAATAATAACAATAATAATAATAATAATAATAATAATAATAATAATAATAATAATTAATAAAATAATAATAATAAAATAATAATAAAAATAAAAATAATAAACTGTTGTATTCTGAGCACCTCTGCAAAAACAGTGATTATGTGAGAGCGAGGTGAAAGTGTTGAATGATGAATGAAAGGATTTTCTTTTTGGGTCACCTGCCTCGGTGGGAGATGGCCGACTTGTTAATAATAATAATAATAATAATAATAAAAAAAAACTTTATTTACTACAAGTACATGTACATGGTATACAGTCCTGGCTGACATCAATGACATACTACTATATAGAAAGCCACTTATTATGCAGAGCACTTCAGGCAAATTAGGTCAGTTTTGTCCAGGATGTGACCCACACCAGTCAACTAACTCCCAGGTACCATTTACTGATGGGTGAACATAGGCAACCACTGTAAAGAAACACTCCAATGTTTCTACCCTCGCTGGGAATCAAACCCGGGCCCCTTGCCATGTGAAGCGAGAGCTTTACCTGGAGTTTACCTGGAGAGAGTTCCGGGGGTCAACGCCCCCGCGGCCCGGTCTGTGACCAGGCCTCCTGGTGGATCAGAGCCTGATCAACCAGGCTGTTACTGCTGGCTGCACACAAACCAACGTACGAGCCACAGCCCGGCTGGTCAGGAACCGACTTTAGGTGCTTGTCCAGTGCCAGCTTGAAGACTGCCAGGGGTCTGTTGGTAATCCCCCTTATGTATGCTGGGAGGCAGTTGAACAGTCTTGGGCCCCTGACACTTACTGTATGGTCTCTTAATGTGCTAGTGACACCCCTGCTTTTCATTGGGGGGATGTTGCATCGTCTGCCAAGTCTTTTGCTTTCGTAGTGAGTGATTTTCGTGTGCAAGTTCGGTACTAGTCCCTCTAGGATTTTCCAGGTGTATATAATCATGTATCTCTCCCGCCTGCGTTCCAGGGAATACAGGTTTAGGAACCTCAAGCGCTCCCAGTAAATTGAGGTGTTTTATCTCCGTTATGTGCGCTGTGAAGGTTCTCTGTACATTTTCTAGGTCAGCAATTTCACCTGCCTTGAAAGGTGCTGTTAGTGTGCAGCAATATTCCAGCCTAGATAGAACAAGTGACCTGAAGAGTGTCATCATGGGCTTGGCCTCCCTAGTTTTGAAGGTTCTCATTATCCATCCTGTCATTTTTCTAGCAGATGCGATTGATACAGTGTTATGGTCCTTGAAGGTGAGATCCTCCGACATGATCACTCCCAGGTCTTTGATGTTGGTGTTTCGCTCTATTTTGTGGCCAGAATTTGTTTTGTACTCTGATGAAGATTTTTTAATTTTTTAATTGTGATCCAAGTAGTTATCCTTATGTATCCGTTATTAAGTGTTTGAGGACAACTAGATGTAGATTTGAAATGATAAAAGGTGCATCATCTGCATACAGAACTAGTTTGTTTGCGGGAGTCATTAAGTAGGTCACCCATGTACAGTAGTTGAGAAATAATAAGGATGCTGCCCTGTATTGCACTTCTGCTGATAGGTCACAATGAAGTATTGTCATTAATGGTCACATGTCAGAGACTTTTGTTAAGGTTGGACTTCATGTATGGCCTCTGATCTAATAGTCCTCTTTTTTTTTTTTTTTTTTTTTTTTTTTTTTAGTAGCAGCAAGATCTTCCCCAGCAAAAAAAAATTCTGAGTTCAATAAGAGGCCACTGGATATTCATTATTTTGAACAGATTGAGACAAGCATTTTTATTATTGAAATCATAATTTTGTAATGTTGGTGACTAGAAAAGTGGAGTAGAGGGAAGGAAGAAGTAGAAGTAGGAAAATAGTGTTCAGAGATTCAAAACAAGGATTTCAACCTAAAGACAAGCTGCTGGATTGGTAGTGGATGGAGGAGGGAGAGTAAAGATGACTGAGTACAATTTTTTTTTTGGATTTTATTGTTTTTTCCCCCATAAGTTTTTTGGACCAACTTTCTTTCTCCTTCATATATAGCCATTTGACACTATGCAGTACGATTGTAATTTTAGGTAAAAGTAGAGAAATTTTGATTTTTTCCAAATTTCAGTTTTGTGTTAATTGTATAAGGAGTATGACTGAATGTTGCATTGCATTTTCTCCTCAGTTGTTTTGGGACCAAATCCATATCATTGTTTTTACATTATCATTTGGTGCATGTGTGGCAAGCTCCTATTTTTAGGTAAACATTTCTCAAGAACTAGTTAGTAGGTTGGTAGAGGCAACTGCCCAGGGAGGTACTACCATCCTGCCAAGTGAATGTAAAACGGAAGCCTGTAGTACTTGTTTTACGTGATGGTAGGATTGCTGGTGTTTTTTCTGTCTCATAAACATGCAAGATTTCAGGTACATCTTGCTACCTCTCCTTACACTTAGGTCACACTACACATACATGTACAAGCATATTTAAACACACCCCTCTGGTTTTCTTCCATTTTCTTACTGGTTCTTGTTCTTGTTTATTTCCACTTATCTGCATGGGGAAGTGGAACAGAATTCTTCCTCCATAAGCCACGCGTGTTGTAAGAGGCAACTAAAATGTCGGGAGCAAGGAGCTAGTAACTCCTTCTCCAGTGTAAATTACTAAATTTAAATAGAGAAACTTTCGCTTTTCTTTTTTGGGATACGGCCGGTTTGGTGAAAGAAGATTTCTCAAGATGTGTGGAATTGGCAAAATTGTATCCCTATGTTTTACACATCATATTGGGCTTGTTTTAAGCAATTTTGTTTTATATTCCATGGGCCCAAAACACAGCTGTGATATAAAGCATGGGACACCTGTACTGCATTTCATGAGAAAGTAATAATTAATTTTGCTCTGATTCAGTTTCCTGTAACTATCTGAATGTTTATCTCATAAAAATTAAAATAGTACATGATAGGAAAAGCCTCATACCAATAATTCTGTGACTTTGGTCTGTAGTTCCTCCCGGTGCCAAATTGTCTGTCATGTTAGGCGGTGGTGCCATCTGAACCATCTGTGGCTGTTCTGACACCACATGCTCAATCTGCGGAGGCTCGGAGCCTTTCTGTAAGAGGAAAGAACACTGGTTATACATCTCATAACTACACATGAGAAAATAGAAGCCAGACTATTCATTACATTACTGTTGCCTCAACGACCTGTCCTCCATACGGAATGTATTTTTTTTTGCGTGAGTTACAATTCGTTGATTTTTCACACAATGTAAAGATTAAATTTAAGTGACTAATTTTAAATTCATATTTTATTTTAGGATAATGCATCTTTAATTAAGCTAAATAATTTTTTTGTTAGGCTAAAGGAAATAGCTCACCATGACATGACAAATTGAAAACTATTGCCTCTAATAAGCATTATATGCCAAGGTTGCAAAACCCCTCAGAGTTAAGATTAATTTTTACAAATTCAATCATGCAAGTGAGGAAGACACTATTTTTACAGAGAAAACTTCATTACAACATTTCATCCAGGATTAACTTTGTCAAGTACTGTATACATGTACATAATGAATACAGTACAGTGGACCCCCGGTTAACGATATTTTTTCACTCCAGAAGTATGTTTCAGGTGCCAGTACTGACCGAATTTTTTCCCCATAAGGAATATTGTGAAGTAGATTAGTCCATTTCAGACCCCCAAACATACACGTGCAAACGCACTTACATAATACACTTACATAATTGGTCGCATTCGGAGGTGATCGTTATGCGGGGGTCCACTGTATATCCCGAGCCTTACCCTGAGGTAGGACTCGGAAGCACTCTTGAATGCTTGTCTGCCCTCTAAAACTATTTACCTGTGTGGGTTCTGTATACTTAATGGAGGCCAGTCCTGGAAAATATGTTATAACAAGACTAGTATCTTTTCTCACTATCTGTTTGATTATATCTGTGAATCTGACTGTTTTCTTAATAATGTACAATGTGCCCAAAGAATACACATTCTACAGAGAGAAATTAGGTCAAATAATAATGATCCCAAATAGATGAATAGGATATGTTGACTAATGACATCATTTACTAATCCCACAAAAAACTGTATTAACACCCACATTTCAAAATATTCTCAAGCAATAAGAGAGTCAGTAAACAATACCGACCCCTGCATGTGAAACTAGCTAAGAAGAATCTTTCAACAAACTGGCCATATCCCACCAAGGCAGGGTGGCCTAAAAAGAACAAAGTTTCTCTTTTTAACTTTAGTAATGTATACAGGAGAAGAAGTTAATAGCCCCTTGATCCCAGTATGTTAGTCGCCTCTTACAAGACTCAAGACTAAGAAGAAATATCAATGTTAATTTATTTATTTATTAAGGGAAAATATGTATACTCCGAGGTTTGTCTTAATTATCTGATAAGACAAGATAAGATTTTAACCATACCATGGGTTGGGATAGAACCCACGATCAGAGATTTTGTTTGGATTTTTTTAAACCCCGAGGGTTAACCACCCAGGATAACACAATAAAGTCAGTGCATTGTTGGGAACTGTCTGGCCCTTTAATCTTTTCCCCCAGGATGTGACCCACAACAGTCAGCTAACACCAAGGCACCTACTTACTCCTAGGTGAACAGGGGCAGCAGGTTTAAGGAAACATGCCCAAAGTTTCTACCCAAGCTGGGGATTGAACCATGGACACTTTGCGTATGAGTTGAGTGCATTGCCCACTGAGTGACAGGAATATTTAATGTTAATACCCCAAAAACAAGAAAAAAACTAGAGTTTAAAAATTACTAAGAATCCTGCAGTTCTGCTAGTTTAATATCTTTATTATCCCCCCCATAAACCCATACCCATCCTGTGGGCGGTAGTCAAAAGAGTACAGAGGTATATAATGGGTCCAGGGATGGCTACAAAGAATCCTGCATCACTGTCAAATCTGAAAAAGCAAATGGAAAAAATGCAAGGGTTAGCTCAAGCAGAGGTTTCAACAAGGCCTTGTAGCCTCTGCTTAAGACAAGAAGAACCTTGGCACTTTTCCTGTTTCTCCCCCAAATCTGGCACTGGTGAAGGATCCTAGCAATTTTTTAAAGTTTTTGCCAACCATTTGACCATGTCTGGAAGATGTGTCATTAGAATTTACTGATACATGAGCTGTACCTGTGGACAGCTTTCATGAACAGTTTTTATAACGCCATAATGCAGACTGCAGTGGAAATAAATTGCTTTGGCTTTATTGGGTTATTCTACGAAAGGTAAGCTTATTTAGGTACAGGTACACATAAGTACAATTATCATTCATAGCAGCATATGTGTTAATTACCTAGGATAACCCCCTCCCCCCTAAAAAAGTCACAGTGACTTATTTCCATATGTTGCTATGCATGACAACCATAAAAATCTAAACTTGTGTAATGTACCTAAATAAACCAACTTTACTTCACTTATTTACAACCCACAGTGTTGATACAACTTTATAAAGCTCAATACTAAGGGAAGTGACCTAATGGTGTTCTCTACATATAAGTAAACTTACTTAGTACTTACTTATTTACCATGATTCAAACAAATTTTCTGTATTCAAAGATGGAAGATAAACTGGGAAAATATTCTGGCTGACATTTATAAAGACTATAAATCCTCTGTGGTAAAATATTTGTCAAGAAATGCTTATACATTTCTACATAAAGATCAAGGCCAACCAGAAGTAAACTTCAGATGAGGGGGAGAGGGCAGGTGGAGGCTTCAGAGGGGAAAGGGGGTGTAATCAGTGGCTTCAGTGGGAGGGGGGGAGAGAGATAATGTAGTCAGTGGGTGGATGCAGTGGTGGACCTACATTTTTTTGGGAGCCCTTCGCAACCCCTTTTCATACAGTAGCCCCTAAAATTTTAAGCAGTGTAGGCTAAAGTCGCATGTGGGGCCCTTCCGGAACTAGGGGCCCATGACAATGAAGCTTCCTTAATTTCATATTAGCCCCCCCCTCCCGTGTGGATTGGGGTGTTTTCTTTATCAGGAGAAATATTAAAATGTCTGGTGACATGATTTCAATGGTGTATATTACCTGTCTGATGCTACACCTTATAGTAACAGTCAGCTTAAGTATTAGTCCAGAAGAATCTTGTTTCTAGGCTTAACACCAGCTAAAGTCGTTCTTTTTTTTTTAACCCGTAAACGGTCCAAACGTATATATACGTTTTTTCAACATTTGAAAGCATGTAAAAAAAGTAGATCTTTTTGTTTTTCTACATTTGAAAATGTGTAAAAAAGCTTTGATCTACTTTTTTTTGTTATATTGAAAATATGTAAAAAAAACTTATATCTACTTTTGTAGCACTACACATGTGAACGTAGATCTGCTTGGACCGTTTACGGGTTAAGAAACTCGTGCATCTTATCAATTAATTAATGGCTCAGAGGGTCATCGCCCCAGCAGCCCGGTCTCAGACCTGGCCTCCTAAATTGGAAAGAACATAATTATTATTATTATTATAATAATAAAAAAGTGCTATGCCACAAGGGCTATACAGCGGAAAGAACATAAGAAAGAAGGAACACTGAGCAGACCTACTGTCAATTGCGAGGCAATTCCAAGTCACCTACTGGAAACGTTAAGGAATAAGAACCATTAAGATAGTTAAATACAGCTAAATGCATTACTTAATGTATGTAGAAATCTTTAAGACTGGCAAGTCGTCTTGCTTGTTCCCTGGACAAGAACCAGCAATCCTGCCCGATGTACAAACGTTTAACAAGCTTCCATTTTGACACTCATGGCAGAAGGTTAATACAGGACCAATATGGATGACTGTGTATAATATTCAATATAGTAATAATATACAAACCAGAAATATTATATTCAGGGGAAGCGCTAAACCCGTTAGTCATACAGCGCCTATGGAAGGGGAAACTGAGGGGGGGGGGGGTTTGACCCAAGGAAGGGGAGGGTAACTCCAATTCTTTGGATCAAGAGCGCGTCTTCAATTCTATTAGCACTTACAAAGCAGAAGCAGGACGAGTACCACTCCACTCTCCTCATCTTGCCTCTCTTCATCACTCGTCTCCGTACTCGTGTTCTCGACTCTGACCTCGACCTCTGACCTTGCTGGACCCCGCAGTGCCCGTTGACCTGAGGCCACTCCACTGAGGTCACACACGCTCACACAAAAGAAGTCACTCTGTCGTGGAAGTTCTCACGGAGGTCACTGAGGCTTGACCTGCAACAATAACCTAGCTTCAGTTCATTCTGTTACCATTTGTGTTTATTTACTAGGCACAGAGAACAAAAATTTTGTACAACTTAACATAGTTATCGAAATATTAACATATAAATGAAATAACAGCAATGAAATCGTTATGGAAGTGAGATACTGTAGATGACGTGACACTAGAGAGAACATATGGGGGAAACTGCTAAAATATGGGTTAATTGCCAATTATAAAAACGGTGCGTGATAATTACGACAAATTATAACCCGAGGTCATTATTTAATTATGAACTGTCAGTGTACGGTAAATCTCACCTAGATACCAGAAACTAGATACAGAGAAGTGTTTTGAACCAAACACCATTTACCTACAAACAGGTGATACTTGACATTGACGAACACAAAATAGTAGTTCAGAGAAATCCTCTTTCTGGATTATAATTTTATGACAATTAATCAGATCATGCGAGTGTGTGTGTGTCTGGGTGGATGTCGTCTCCCACGATACCTGAAACTCACTGATACGGTATTCTAACAGCGGATAAGTTACAAATAGGGCAACTTATGTATTAGTGTGGACTTAAACTAGAGAGAAAAACCCAGGAGATAAGGAGATGCTTGGTGGCAAGAGCTCTAGCTTAAGACGGTGATATCCGAGTTCGATTCCCGGCGAGGGTAAAGCATTGGGCGTGTTTCCTTACACCGGTTGTCCATGTTCACGGTTAGGTTAGGTAAGGTTCGTCAGGAAACAGAACAAGTGTTTCCTGAACATCAATATGGTATACAATACCGACAGATTGGTAGGTAAGACACATAGGCAACAGTTAGGCAACTTTATTCCGAAACGTTTCGACTACACAGTAGGCTTCTTCAGTCGAATACAGAAAGTAGGCAGGAACAGTAGAGATGTGAAGACAATGTAATCAGTCCATCACCCTTGAAGTCGTAAAATTTGAGGTTTTCAGTCCCTCAGCCTGGAGAAGTTCAGTTCCTTAGTCAGGAACTATCTGGATAGTTCCTGACTATGGAACTGAACTTCTCCAGGCTGAGGGACTGACCTCAAATTCTACGACTTCAAGGGTGATGGACTGATTACATTGTCTTCACTCTCTACTGTTCCTGCCTACTTTCTGTATTCGACTGAAGAAGCCTAATGTGTAGGCGAAACGTTTCGGAATAAAGTTGCCTAACTGTTAGTTAGTTTAATATGTTTATTATGCACCCCATACCCATCCTGTGGGCGGTAGTCAAAAGATTACAGAGGTACATAATTGGTCCAGGGACTGGACTCCAAAGTTTTGATAGCTGAGCAAGTTACAGAGGTAATGAACTCACAATTTACAAAGGTAATGAACTCACAATTTACAAAGGTAATGAACTCACAATTTACAAAGGTAATGAACTCCAGGTAAGTCTGGTCACAATCATGACAAGTTACAAAGGTATTTACAGATTACAGAGGTTGCCTATGTGTCTTACCTACCAAGTGTTTCCTGACATGGGTCTTACATGATGACCCGCCGTTGGAGGTTTTGGTCATCTGACCGGGGCCTCCCGCTGGCTTACCGGTCCACCCCTTTAAAAATTATGGTCATAGTTATAACAATTTATGTGAGGGGAAAAGTTCAAGAGTAGGAGTAGCGAGGGAGTATACAGTAACAATAGTTTCATTGCCGGCTACTTGTTAAGGTAGGGTAAGTCAAGCTCCCCCTATTCCCCCCCCCCCTTTTTCCCCTCCCCGAAAGTGATAGTTTGATTGCCGGCTGCTTGTTAAGGTAGGGTCAGTCTAGCTCCCGCTATCCCTTCCCCTCCCTCTCCCCCCCCCCCGAAAGGTGACGTGTGGGGCTCCGGTCAAACAGTAAATCACTCGACTCACAGCTCCCAACACTACTGTAAGTACATGCCTGATCATATTTTAGTGGACTTATTGGTTGAAAGCTTCACTTTTTTACCAATAATTAACTTAGCCCTTTCAGTCTTGATAGGTTAAATGTTTTAATAATCACCATATCTTTTAGGTATTGTACTTATCATGGAGAGTGATTTCTTAAGCAGTGGGTAATCTGTCTCTCTTTACAGCTTGAAATGACAGAGAGGGTCACCTGCCAATCAACGAGTAGAATTGAAGGAGACGGACTAACTTCCTGAGACGTCCCATGTTATATATGCTTACCTGTGCATCTGTATGAAGTTGCAGGAGGTTTAAACCCCCCATCATTGCAGCGGTAAAGAACCTGCTTTCCTGTCATCGGGATAGATTATTCACTGCTATACTGTGAAGAACTAGCCAGTGGATTGTCACCAACACCTGCGACCCCCCCCCCCTCATCAGCAACGGCTCGTTTCAACAAAACGCAGTGACACCAAACCAAAAAACCAAGTTTTATATGTTTTAGCTTTGAATTCAGATTCATTTTTTTTTTTCTTTTTTTCATTTTTTTTAATGTAGGACAATATTTCATTTTTAAAGGTTTTAATTTTTATATTCTAATTAAAGTGTTTTTTTGTCGTTTTTATTCTTTTTCTATGCTTTAAATTTTTCCCTGAGGAGGGGCCAGCCTTAGTAATACTGACTAAAGTTGTTCGGGCTGAGTAACCCTTTCACAAGTGGCGACCTTCCCGGGGATCAACTCGACTGAATCAAGATTAAAAACCCATCTCAATCTCCATTGGAATTTAATGCCGCAAACCAAGACGGTTACCACCAGCTTGAGTAATAAACTCTAGGTGGGCTACGGTACAGGTTTTTAAAAAGATTTGGTTTTTGTTATAGTTCTTTTATTGTAAGTCAAGTCAGGCAGGTACAATATTTAATTCTGCCACCTTTTTGTTCGAGCTTAAAACACTTTGGGGATTAGCTCTAGGGACCCGAGTTTTTCCAGTGCAATTTTTTTCAATTGAGCTTTTATTATATCAAGGGAAACTGTCGTAGGACACTCTTGATTTGTTTGGTGAGAAGTTTGGGTGGTCAAGGGACCCCATTCACTTACGTTTGCGGGACCGGCATAAAACCCCTTCGTTTTTTTTAATACATATTGTTAATTTTGAAGTAGGGATCGAGCCCTTGGTTTATTTAAGTTTGAGCAGAGCGGGAATTGAACCCTCTGTTTTCTTTGTACCCATTCTTTTTTTCCCTGGTAGTTTAAGTTATTCTTGCAAGATGGGGGAATCCAGTTTTGGATGAAGTGGAAGTTGGGAAACAGGGAAAATTTAAAATTTTTCATTAGTGCAAAGATCCAGGAAAGACTTGAAAGAGAGAGAATTAGAGAAGAGACAGTTAGAAAGGGGAAAAGGAAGAGAATAAGGAGAAAAAAGAATAGAGAGGAATCAAAAAGGCAGTTAAAAAAGAAAAAAGAGGGGATAAAAAGGAGAGAGATCAAAATTGAAAGAAAAAACCAAGATATAAGTTAAAAAGGGAGAAGAAGAAAAAAAGGAGGTGATAGACTTGATATGGGGATAGAGCAGATACGGGGAACAAGCTAAAGTAGTGGGAACAAGTAAATTAAAGAACTTGCGGAAAAAGAAAAGGATAGGAATTAGGAAAGAGCTAGAAATTTTGAGGAAAGAGCTAGAGAATGTGGGGGAAGAGCTAGAAAATGTGAGGAAAGAGCTAGAGAACGTGAGGAAAAGAGAGAGAACGTGAGGAAAAAGCTAGGAAACTGGGAAAGAGCTAGAAAACGTGGGGAAAAGAGCTAGAGAAGTGGGGAAAAAGCTAGAAAATTTGATTTAAAATAGGAAAAAAAAAGGATCGCAAGCCGAAAAAGCTCACCTTGAATTAGAGAAAAAAAATTTAAAATCTTACACAAAAAACAATTAGGGGGAAGGAGAATTGAACATCATGCAGTAGTGCCATATTCCAACACCTATTTACCTCCCTTCACGAGGGTGAAGACATTACTTCTAATCATCGGGTTTGAAAATACCGCTCCCCCTTTGAATGGCCTGCCACCCGGGGGTACCGGGTGGGAATGTTATTTTTGGTATGTTTTGAATATCTACCCAACTTTGTCGCAGGATATCATTGTAATTAAAAACCACTGAAAAAAGGGCAATCCTTAAAAAGCTATAAAAAAACCACAAATTCTTTCAGGAAGATTTCGGGTATGCCCCCTTTACACCCGGGCCAAAACTTTCAGCAGTTACAAGTAACACTCTTTGTTTGTTGCTTTGGATAGAGAGTTCAGGAATTGATCACGTTATGAATCTTTAGAGATTTCAGGGTTTGCTGCCCCAGTTCCTGACAGCTCTTCCCACCAATAGAACATTCATCAGAGAAGTAACTATTAAAGCTGAGGAATTGCTGAGGCTGCTGCCTGTATGCGAGGTTACAATTCCTAAAAAGCCTAAAGGGATCAAACCCCAAAGGGAAAGGGTTCATCAGCCCTTAAAAATCAAAACCTCTGTGGAAAGAAAAATGATTTTTTTTCCTTTGTCATTTGGTGGTGTTAAGGACATAAACTCCAGATTGTCCTTCTAGAAGGTCCAAAAAGTTGGAGTGTTTTAAAGACTGTAATGCCCAAGCACCCTTTGTTCGGGAACAGTTAAGGGGACTTAATGTATTACCATTTTACGAGACACGGGATGCAATGTATAGTATTTCTGATAAGCTTTTTCCCTAATTTAAAAAAAAACTCATTCCTCTGCTATATTTCAGACTACTTGGGCCGTACGCCACTTTTCCTACCACCGTTTTTAAATTTGGGTCAAAATGGTTCACGGGTTTGGCTGAAGCCGTATTTGCTCCCATCACTTCTTGCTCCGCAAATAGGAAATTGTAAAAGGTCATTTCCCCTTTGGGTTGCCCTTTCTCCCCAAAAAGGTGGACATAAGCTTTTCAAACCTTTCCTGTAGAGCCAGAGAAGCCCCTCGAAAGTTCAAGGGGACAAAGTTTGCGAGATTTATGTGGGATTAAAAAACCCGTAATGCTACTCTGAAAGCGAGGTGTGGATCAACCCGGGTTTATTGTTTGATGAAAGGAAGATATCACCTCCGATCCCTAAAATTTGACT